AGCGCACATGCCCTAAGCAAAAACCTCTCCAAAAAAAACCCAAGCAAAGAGGCGGTAGCCCCTTCCTTCCCTGCAGCCCTATAGGGGTCCAGCCCGTGGCCCCTCCTGTCCCTTTGTTAGGAGCCCTGTGTACCTGGGGCAAAGACCGCCACCTGCCTCAGTCTCCTGGGGGTGGGGCCACAGCAATCATGGGGTCACTGTACACCTGGCTCTCCCCTCCACAGCTCGGAATACCTGGCCATCACCTCAGAAAGCAAAGAGAACTGTACGGGTGTCCAGGTGGCCGAATAGCCCTGGTAAGTGGGGAGCCAGGGGTGGGCGTCTGGGAGGGTTTCGGCTCGCTGGGTCCCTAATGCCTTCTCTCTCTATCCCCCTTAGGCCCTGGGCTCCGCCTCATGGAAGAGCCAGCCCTAGTGGGGAACCCCCAGGCACAGCCTGCCCCAACCCCGGGGGGGTTGGCCATCCCTGGGCCTCCACACGCCTCAGAGTCCTGCCATCGGAGCCGCAGGGGGGGTAGGGGGGCCAGGGGCTTGGCTCACACCCCTAACCCCGCCACCTTCCTCCTGCCCCTGTCGCCCACCCAGCACCATGCATGACGGGTAAAGCAATACTGCCGCTGCCCCCACCCTGCTTCTGCTGCCTGTTTGGGGAGGGGGCGGTGAGGTGGGGGCAGCGGCTCCGCACCCCTCCTTCTTGCTGATTTGCACACATTGGCCGCTTCGGACACGCACTTGTGGGGCCAGCCCCTTCCTGCCCCATCCCTGCCCAGCGGGGGGTTGTGATCAGCTGGGGGTTTGGGGCAGGGGGTCTGGGACCCACTCCAGCCCCCAGCATCATCTCTCCTCCTGCTTCCTCCGGCTGGACCTGGGGTCCCTCTCCCTGTGAAGCACTCTTGCCTGGCCCCACCCCACTCCCTCTCACCAGCCTTGGATTGTGGTGGCCACGTAGAAAGGGGCCCTTCGGCCTCGCCTCTTTACAGAAGTAGTTTTGTTCATGAAATAAAGATTCTTGGACTTGATTCGTCATCTCTCTCGTGAGCCCAGTCATCTGCACCCCCAAATCCAAGAGCCTCAGTTTTCCTGGGGACCTTCCCTCCTGGGCAGGCAGTGGGGCCTCTGCCACCATGTTCAGGGAGGGAGCTGGGGCAGGAGCAGGTGGGGCCAGCGGCCCAGTTCCAGCAGACAAGTCCCTTAGGTGCCTGGTTACTGTTGGGGTGGGGAGTCATTAGCTCAGTGGGGCCCATCGGTGGTGAGGGAGCCTAGAAGACAGCCCCAGGAGAGGGGCAAGGCTGATGCTGGGGTGCAAGGGTTTCATGGGGTTTGCTGTGTTCCTAGCAGGGTGGGTCTCTCTGGGGAGGTGGGATTTGGGAGAAAGAGGAGGGAAGGAGAAAGGGACGTGAATGCAGAGACAGAGCAGGGGCTGGGGAGCAGCCGGGCTGAAGCTGTGTGGACCCCAGTGAGAGGCTGTGGGCTTGGCTCTGGGGTGAGCAGGCCTGGTGTGACTGTGCTGGGGCATGTGGCTGACCACAGGCAGGTGTCTGACGGTGACCCTGGTGTGTCCGGGTGTTTATCCAACCCTGGGGTCTGACGTGGTTGGCTCTTGGCTGCTGGCGGGACAGAGTGTCTCTCTCTCTCTGGACACTTCCGGCCACTTGGCCTGGGCTTCAGCCCTCGGAGCGGCCTTTTCCGGGCCAAGCCCCCCATCCCCCCTGTCTAGGACTTTCCTGGCTCCAGAGGTCAGCGCCACCGGGAGAGAGGCTGCCAAAACAAACCAGCCCCCGTGACTTGTAGGAAAGCAGCTGGGGGAGGGTAAGGGGCAGCGGGGCCAGGGCTGGGCCAGGAGCAGGGCTAGAAGAGGGGGCTCCGGCAGGAGCGCAGAGGACTGGGTCTGGAACTGGGGTAGGGGCAGGACGGCCCGGCCGGCTCTCTCTCGGTGCTGGCAATGGCAGGAACCGCGCGGTCCTGACCGGGCTGGGCGGGGCGTGCTGCAAGGGGCGAGGGCGGGGCAGGGGGCGGGATGTGGCACCCGCAGAGTGGGCTTGGGGCAGCTTCGGCCCCCACCTGATTCCCTCCAGTCCACATCCCCCTCGGCCACTGCTCTAAGCTCGCCCAGCCCTCAGCCCGGCTGGCCCAGCCTGTCCCTGTTGCCATCTCCCTGAGGACGGGCACACCTGGGTTCTCCCGAGGGGTGGAGGCATGCCGGTGGCTGGGCCCGCCTGAGTCCGGCCCCATCAACCAGGTGGCCTCCTCCCCTGCCAATCCCATTGTCCAGCCCCTTCCCGCCCCTTGCCCAGCCCCCTCCTCCTCAGGTGAGGCAGCCTGGCCTAGCAGGCCCCACGCTGCCTCTGCCTCCCGGGCGCCCGCTGCTACAGGGCCACCATGCTCCTGCCCAGGCCTGGAGACTGACCTAAACCCGCACCATCTCGCGGCTCCGCCCCGCCTGCCAGACCTCCGGGTAAGGACCAGGGCCCCAGACTCCCAGTTCCAGTCCTGAGCACATGGATTCCCTCACCCCCCACCCAACCTAGTGCCTGCTTCCAATAGAGGGGCTCCCAGAGACCCCGCCAGGGGCCTCTCTGACTTCTCCCTAAGGATCTGAGTGCCCCGGCTGCTTTTCCTTCAAATTCAGACGTCGTCTTCAATTTCTTCCACCCTTAGACCCAGGAGTCTGGGCCCCCAAATCAGTCCTTCCCCAGGTCTCAGGTTCAGGCCAGCTCCTGCCTCAGACCCGGGAGATCAAACCCTCAGCCCCCTCGTCCTCGAGGCTCAGGTGTGGGGTCCCCATCCCTGCCAATCCAGGCTTCCCCCTCTGGTCACTGATCAGACTGACCCCATCCTTGAACCCAGCCCGATCTGTGTCCGTGAACACGACGTGCTCTGGCCAAGGCCCAGTCCCTCCAGCCTCCCTGGATAGGTGCCTGGGACTGGGGGGTGCCGGGATGGGGCTGGGCTGAGCTCCCCCAGGCCCTGCCTCCCTGGTCATCTCCCCACAGGTCCCGCCTCGGCCCAGGAGGTCAGCGGGAAATCATTAACAAGAGGCTGTGACATGGCGGAGAAGGAGGGTGAGTCCCCTTTCCCTGAGTCCCAACTTTGGCTCTGCCTGGCACCCCTCCCTTTGTGCTCTCTTCTCAGCCCTCCTCTTCCTTGGAGCCCCCTCTCCCTCCCAGACCCATTGCCACCCCCTCTGAGGCCTCCTCCCGCTGATTAACTATTAACCAAATTTTCTCTGCTGCTGGGCCACCACCTACCTACCTGCTACCCCACACGAACTTCCTGCTCCTTGCCTCAGTTCCCCCTCATCCCCAGTGATTTCTCAGCTAGCCCTGGGCATGTCTCCTACTTGGGACTGAGGTGGAAGGACTAGCTATTGTGGTTCCGGACGTGGATTCTAGAGTCAACACACACAGGCCTGCATTTGAATTAGCTTCGGCCACTTTCTTGCTGTGTGATCCTGTGCAAGTGACCTCATTTCTCTGAGCGTCGATTTCCCCGTGGATCAAGCATGGATCCTGATTCGCCCTCCGTGAGGTCGTTGGGAGCACGGAACATACAAGACACCGATACAGGCCTCAGTAAATGAGACACATGCCGTCCACAGGAGCAGTCCTCACAGGGGCTGGTAGACGTGGTGTCCCAGGGACCCAGGACTCCCACACA